GCAAATGTCCACGTCATTTTTACGACCTTTTTAAATTTGATTTTTAATGAAATCCGTTTTCACCAACGACTTGTTCAGCCAGTAAACACATCTGTGATATTTACGTAAGGTTTATACCTACATAAATTTGAGATAATTTTTCAACCAGCACTAGGATCAGTTTCTCAATAGCGAGTGGATTAGTTTTTACTCCAACTCCAAGGTAAACATGTCCAGTTGCAATGCTTAACCTGAAGTTATGCTTAACCAGGGAGTGACCTGCTATTGGGAAACCGGCCCTTGGTTTCATGTCAATTTCATGTAAATACTATGTAAACCAAAGGTTTTTAACTGTCTATAGGTTTGTTCGGACTTAGTTCAGAATCAGTTCTGAATTGAACTGCGCCTGCGCATGCGCATTTGTTCATATCGAACATAAATGAGCAAATGCGCAAGCGCAGTTCAATTCAGAACGGATTCTGAACTAAGTCCGAACAAACCTTATACGTAATATTTACTCAAAGTATTAAATATCGCGTTTACATAACAACATAACTGAATAGTATATTTTATATAAAATTTGGAATTTTGAAACGCCTCAAAAGAATATCGACATATTGTTCCTGGTCTAGAGTAATGACACCTTTCCCTTTATTTATTGAAATTCTCATGCCGAGAGATTGTCTGGCTCTACCTGCGTCTTTAATTTCAAATTCTGACCCCAATTTATTTTTCAATATTTTTGTTTCATCAATACAATTCGAAAAAACGTAAAGCGCAATAATAGTTAACTCGTTGCTTTTTCTTGATTTTTTAAAAAGACAAGGTTCATTTTTCGATTTTTATTAACCCAATTCTGACAAAACTATTTCAACTCTTTCGTACCATACCCTAGAGGCTTGCTAAGTCCGTAAACTGCTTTATTCAATTTTAAAATTTTATTTTCTTACCCAGGAACAAGAAAACCTTAGAAATGCTGTGGTTACGTCCAAATGTGTGATATCTAATTCTAATTTCACAACCAATGCAATCGTCATACGTAAGGTCGAATGTCTTACAACTGGACTAAAGGTCTCATCAAAGTCTATTCCATATTTCTGCGTGAAACCTTTCGTTACCAATCTCGCTTTAAATCTAACATCTATTTTCTTAGGAAAAATTCATTTACACTGAACTACAGACACTTTACGATCTTGTGGAACATCCACCACTTCCCACACACTATTTTCATGAAATGCATTAATTTCTTCCTCCATTGCGTGTCGCCATTGAGCTGAAGCTGCGCTGGACATTGCTTCTTTTACACTTTGAGAATCATCTTCCAAGCTGGAATTGGTACACGGTACACATGTAGAATACAAAATCGTCGAAGTGTTTTGGTTTAGGTATTCGCTGTGATCGCCTGATTGGTAAGACCTCTATCTCTGGTTCACTATTTTCTTCATCCAACACGTCACTGTCACTGTTTTGAATGTCTTCATCGGATATACTGTCATAATCGGTTGTAGAACTATTATGGCTACTCGAGTTTCCAGATTCTTGTTCATTTTCTATGATTGGGATAGGAATTGGCTCACATTGGACTTGTGGTTGATTGTGGTAATTTTCCAATATTATCACATCTCTGCTTACAGATACTCCATTTGTTACAGGATCATAAACCCTATATCCCTTCACATTTTCACTGTAACCCATCAAAATCTTCTTTTCTGCCTTCTTGTCCCATTTCAATCGTTTCTCTTTGGGTATATGCACCGTAACTATGCTGCCGAAGATTCTCAAATGGTTTACTGTTGGGTTTTTTTTTATACCAAATTTCAAAAGGTGTTTTATTATCAGGCAAACCCGACGCAGGTGATCTGTTTCGTAAATGAATGGCAGTGTTGACAGCCTCTGCCCAGAACTCTTTTTCTAAGTTTGCCTCGAATAATAAACACTTTGCACACTCTACTATGGTACGGTTTAGCCTTTCAGAAACTCCATTCTGTTCTGGAGTGTATGAGTCTGTTTGCTGGTGAATTATACCACTTTTCTTAAGAAAAGTATTCCTGTTATTATTGATGAACTCACCACCATTATCTGATCTCAAAATATTTATCTTTTTCCTTTGCTGGTTCTCTACAAGATTCTTAAATTTTTTGATACGATCTGATATTTGGCTTTTTGAATCCAAAAAATTAACAAAACCATACTTTGAAAGGTCATCCTGTAAATTCAAAAAATATCTCAAGCCTCCCATGGAGTTAATTTCTATTTTGCCACATTATAGTTCCCAATGTATTAAATCTAAAACATTTGTTGCTCGCTCAGCATCTTTAGGAAAAGGCAATCTATGCTACAACACGTTGTACAGTTGTACTTTCCAATGTCTATCTTCTCAATGCACTTAAGACCTTCTCATCTTTGTTAGGTCTGCACTGTTCAAGTGACCAAGTCTTTTATGCCACGTTTCTGCAGTCACATCTCTGCTGCTTGTTAATAGCTATTTATATAACAAGTACATAAAGTAAGGCTTTATTGTACGAATAATTTTATGGCCGAGCGAGCTTGCGAGCGAGGCTATTAAATAATGAGTCAATAAAGCCTGTTTATGTAAGCGTTATATACATGATTTTATGTACGATTGCGACTGGTTTTTATTAAAATTTAAAAAAATTTAATGAAAAATTAAAATTCTAGTATACCTGTTTCACCTTAGGAGGTTGTCAGGTAGTCCAGGTAGGCAATAAAGTAGCACTTTATTGTACTAGTAAAATAAAGTAGCAGTTTATTTTACAGTAAAATAAAGGGCTACTTTATTAACACAAAACTGTTCAATAAAGAGCACTTTATCGATCAATCGGACATTAAAAACATTTTTCTAGACGAATGTTTAGCTTGTAGACGCCATTGTCTAAGTCAGTTACTGCTGCCAGCTCAGTGTACTTATATAAATTTTACAATGCTGTAAGTAAATCAAAAATAACTTTATTACCGTTTTTAATTGAATTACCGATAGTAAGTCGGTGGTAAGATCTGGCACACAAAGAGCTTCCTGAATAATTATGTCATGTGACTCGCTATTGACAATTGTGTTAAGCTTGACATCACCACAACAGTTACTGAAATTGCTGTGTTGTCGGCCACCAATATTTCATTTCTTCCATAGGACAAGGACATTTTTCACTCATTAGCTGAATGTTAGACACGATATGCACGCTTGCGCCACTGTCAATATACCAATCTGTTTTCTTGTATTCACCACTTAAGAAAACCACACTGAAAGCATTCTCAATTTTTGTTCCTTGTTTATTGCTATCTTTGTTTTTTCTTGCTTGTACAGTTTAATTCATAATGTCTATATTCTTTACAGTTAAAACGCTGTATGTTCTTCAACCTGTCCTTATTTTCATTGGTTGAAAACTCCTTCTTTTTTCTTATGAAAAGGTTTGCAACCTTTTGTATAAAATGCACTGTTTGACGTTTGCGTTACTGACGTCACTGCGTTACATTCAAGTTGAATTTTACCTAATTGTGACTTGGAAAAAGCTTAGAAATTATACATATAATTAGGTAAAGTACATAGTTACGTACAGGGTGAGTCACTATATTTTGACACCCACCTGCAGCCGTAATTACAGGTAATATGTAAAAGGTGTAAATACAAAAGTTGTAGCATTTCATCCATCTGAACCGCCAGAATTTTGAACAAATTTGCATAGTAGAAAAATATGTCAATGTTCACTTTGTTCAAATGAAATGCACTTCATCCTTTCAAATTCATAAAGTTCTCGTGTTTTTGATTCAGATTATATAATATGTTAATATTTCTTTCAATAGTTTTTGGAAATATCTGGAGTTTAGTTATTCAAAGACCTATTCACCTTTCAGAATGATTTCTGAGAGGTGACAGGGTAAATCAAGGTAAAATAAAATCAAAAAACTACTGTCTTTGAATAACTCAGATATTTCCAAAACTATTGAAAGAAACATCAACGTGGTTCAGATGAAATGCTACAACTTTTGTATTTACACCTTTTACCTATCACCTGTAATTACGACTCCAGGTGGGTGTCAAAATATAGTGACTCACCCTGTACATTTCTACTTCAACTTTATGTAGTTGTGTTGTTATCATATGCATTTGTCGTATAAGTAAGTAAGTAATGTCTGCCCAGCGAATCTGTGTCTACGGGGCAACGGTAAGGGGAATGCAGTTGTAAAAAAAAATTGCTGATTTCATTCATAAAATACCCAGCTGCGTGCGAAACTTTTTGGAAGTGTTATCGTATTGCAACTCGTACACGAAAATCGACAATGACCAAACCTCCGCCACTGAATATTTCAATATAAATTGATATTCCAAGATGGGAGGATAAAATGACGTAAGCCCTGGCCAATAGTGAGATGTTAGGTGACGTTAGCTCATTGACAACCGTATGGTTCCCCATGGCAACGGCGATCCTGCCAAAAACTCCACCAATCAGGTCCATCCAGGCCGGATGCTTGCCAAATTGTCAAAAGCTGATGGTATCTTTAGAAAATGTTTATTTTTTACAATAAACCAAATTGAAGAAATCAGGATTAAAACAAGAATAGATCCAACAGCCACGTTAAAATATTTAGCGTTTTATTATTGTTATCGATATTTTGTTATTAAAAAATGGATTTTCAAATGAACTATACTTCATGCCAAGTATTTTCGCTTTTTTATAATTAAACGTGACAACATGGCACATTTACGTCCGAATTCCTTCCGTAGACTCAGATCCGCTGGGCAAACAATAAGTAAGTAAAGTAATTACAGTACCTACTGGTGGAGCCGATCAAACTGACGTATAAACCAAATTTCGAATACGACATGGCCGACGTATTTGTGACGTAATCTTAGGTCATTTCCACTATTGTAAACGACGTCTTTTTCAAATCATAAAGTCACGTATTTTTACCTTATATAAAACCACATATTTTAACTTCAATAATGTTTTTTGGGCTGTGACATATTCACGCCATCCTTACGTCACAATGGCGTCATTTTAAAAGTTAAAATCACGTCTAATCTCACAAAAAATGACGAAAAGAAGTCGTAATTTTGCTGCTTGTGACTATACCAATAACAATAACACTTTCGAGTGATGAAACTAATGGGCCCTGTAAATCTTCCAATCAAAAACGCCAACAACAAACTGTATATAATTTATACTCACAACTCTAGTGTGGACAATATGGTAAAGTAATTTTACTCTATATTTTCTCGCATGACAAAGAAACTCAAAATCCACAGAGATGTTGACACGATACTCAATAAATCTAAATTTACATTTGGTAAACAGTCAAGGGTGGAAATCTTCCCCTCTTGTTCCGGTTGAACTTATCTCACCGCCGAATTTATATACCGCAAAACTTATGATCCGTATCTATTGGACGCATATGGACCTCTCGTGTTTCAATGCCAGATAAATACTGTGTAATGAGTTTTGTATTGTTGTGGCATATCAATTCATCATCAATAATAATTGTTATTAAGCTTATAGAAACGAACAATATTTGAACTACGTTTTTTTCAGTTTTTTAATGTAGGTAACCGAAGAACATTAATTTGAAGAATCAAAAGATTATTCCTAGAAGCAGCTGCCCCCTTTTGCAAGATGTATTTCTTTTACCCAATCCACCGTAAACTTATTCAATCATTTATACAGGGTGAAAATTATAACTTTCGCAAAAAATAAGATTTAGAGTTTAGGCTGGTCAATATTAGGTACCTATCCATGATTAGTTTTAATATTCTTCATATTGTCAACTGAAGGTTTGTAGAAAATCTTTTCAGTTTCTTTTGACCTTTATAAGAAGAGATCAAAATTTGACAATTTCCTCGATTCTAATATTTTACTCCAGAATTAAACTACAATCTACGCTAGATACGAGACTTTATGAGAATCTATTTTTGATCATTTCAGGCAATTCATACTGAAAACAATTATTTTAAAAAAATCAGAAACACCCTTAGAATTTTGAAAGTACCTACTGTAATTTTTTATAAAGGATAAATACATGAAGATTGAAAATGAAAAATTGTGTTTTTGGATTTTCTCAAAAATAGTTGCAATTCAGTTAATCTTTCCACCCTGTACCCGTATTAGAAAAAACAAACTGCATTCTAATTATATCAGCGCATTAATTACTGAGCGATTTTTTTTCTTAATTTATATCCTGACCATCGTCGGATAAATGCAAACTAGCCCGTATCCTTTGGCTCGATACGCACGTGCCATTTTGCCAATGAAAAAGAATTTTTTATTGGGTTCTTTGCACCTATTCGAGCAATTTGATATGGGCATTGCTTGAATGATGCGTAATTTTTAACATTGAAGTTTGCAAAATGATCAAGGTATTGAATATTACATATCTAGTTGTATATTGTATCGTTAATGTTTTACCTCTACCATTGAACACACCAATGAATTGCTGAATCTTATGGATTACTAGTTGAGATTGGTTTAAAGATATAGACAAAGCTTATACCAAAAAGAATTCTTAATAAATAAAACGAAATTCTGGGAAAAATAATGTACTTACTTCGACCTCACTATAAATCGACTTTTTAAGGTAGTCATAAAACTATATGGATTATGGAGCGTAACCGTGACTATTATAACATTCATGTCCGAGCTTTATGTGACTGGCATGCATGAAAAATTTAAATATTGATCATGTTTTATGCTGAAAAATATGAAATTAATGTAAATCAAAATCATAAGCGCAACGTGTTCAGGCCAAATTATTCTGGTAGTTTGCTAACGAATTTGCATCCCCTATCACGCATTTAGAGGGTTTTCAAGTTTGCCCCCGATCATGTGGTGGAAAATTTGTCGCAGAACGAATATATGTATGGAGTTTTCTTAATAATGTTAGCAATTTTTTTATAGGGTTTACTACCCATGGATAATAGTCATTTTTTTTTTTTAATTGAAAGTAGTATGATGCAAATTTAATCAATCAACCCAATGATATAAACTACTTATGTAATACTATAGGCAAAAGCGACCATGCAGTTAGTCATTATGACCAAAATACAGGTAGGTACAGTAGAGAATAAGCAACGTTACAAAAACAACAAAAAGGAACTTTTACAAGGCAGGTTATGATAGAATTAATAAGAACATCGCATCTGAACTCACCGAAACTAGCATGTGAGAAGTTCCAGTTCAAAATATTGAAGAAATATCAAAGATACATACCACATCAAACATGGAGTTACTAGAAAGAACTCTAAGAGGATGCACAAAAATCTCTAATGAAGTCAAAAAGAGTCCCTATGAAGGCAGATTGAAGATGCTCAATCTACAGACCCTGAAGGACAGAACAGAGATAGGAGACCTCATTGAAGTCTTCAAGTTCGTCCATGGAAAATATGATGAAGACCTAAAAGTCACCTTTGCTATACCGAATACAATTATAACCAAACTCTGAAAAGAAACAATCAGAAAAATACAAGCTTCTTCAAAGAAGACACTTTCTCACAAACCGAGTTTTTAACACGTGGAACAGCGTCCCAGAAAGTGTGGTGAGTGCTGAAAAGAAAGGCATGTTTGAAAACAAGCTTGACAAGCACAATGAAGTGAGAACCATTAGGAACCAACTTTGTGACTAACCTACATGTAGATTGGCAAAAAGTACAAACAGTAGGTAGAGTCATCAGTGAAACTGTTTTCCTGCAAGTATTCCTTGTTACTTCCAAGTATTTTGACTTCTTTTGGCAATTTGGATAGCATCTAGTCTATATAGGGTTTCCATACGTCCGGATTTACCCGGACATGTTTGGGTTTTTAGGGTGTCCGGGGAAGTCCGGCCGGAATTCGGAACAATGTCCGGAAAACTCGGAGATACCCAAGGATGATACACACTACTACTACTACTACTACAGGATGGCCTATCCTCATAAAAGCCTGTGTGTAACAAACTTACGGCCATTTCCACCAACTATTTTATGGAAGCCCTAACGATAGGAATGCCTTGAACTGACATTTCTCCATGTAAAAATGTCATTTTAGGGAATACTTATCGTTAGGGCTCCCCTAAAATAGTTGGTGGAAACGGCCATTAGAGTAACAAATGTCCCCCTAGCCCAAATACCAGTTGTGACGTATGCAGCATGTTATTTCTCGCCTTGACTTAGGCTGTTTAAACAGCTGATGACGTCAGAAATGGTTTCACACCAATATGGCGGCAATTACCAAAAACAAGGCCGATAAGCACTCCTTAGAGTGTGTATTCTCCATGGGAGATGGAGATACCTAGGTACCAAAAATTCGAAATTTTGTATCGGGGTGGCAAGTAAATTGTATCCTGTATCCATTTATTCTGGGTTGCGTATAGGATTGATACACGTGTTATTATATTTTTGTCTCTTGTCATTGGTGTAGGTACCTTGTATTTGTCATTGTGTCTTCAGTCTAACGAAAAAAATGCTCAAAGCGTACCTATCTATTAATTAATTTCTGTAGAAATTTATTTTTGCAAAAAATATACAAAATTCATTCTTTATAAAAATTTTATCGGCGAAGTCCGGATTTTGTCCGGATTTCTTGACTCCTAGGTCCTGGATTCCGAAAAACCTTTATGGAAACCCTAAGTCTATATGACACTGTCATGGTCATCATAGCAGGCTTCATATCATTCTTCGCTTTCCGATTCCCAGTAGTCAGCCAGTTCTATCTTGCCAATCTTTAGGTGTTAAATTTCCACCCTCTGAATGCCGCTGATACCTTCAGAATGTTTTGGGTTTTCCCTTTCTTTTCCTCTTTATCATGGCCACACATTTTTGAAGTACTTTTGGAATTTGCTGTTCTGACAACCTTTCCAAGTTGTCATACCAGAAAAGTGTTGTTTTTGTTGGATATCGTCATATTCTTCCGATTCTGGACTCTATCAAATGTGTCAGGCGGTGTCTTGTTCATTTTTGAAGCTAAGAACAGACGCATTGCCTTCGGCTAGGTTGTTCCAGTCATAAACATTTCTACACAATGTCTCCGTTTCCGTGGAGTAACAGAGTCAAATTGGTCTATATTACAAGAATAATAAGCATGTAAAATCTTATATATCTACCTATTTCTATACTCTACAGGGTGTCCCACGGTGGATGGCGTATTAGACGTTTATGGAGAATTAAAAAGCGAATCATTTTGAAAATTTGGCAACCGGGATAAACGACCATGATCTACACTTTAAAAAAAAACTCGTGTGATTAGAACGACTCGGTCTACGACCTCGTCGTTCTAATCTTTCACACTCGTTATTGTAATCATGTTCATAAACGCACTTGTAATGTAAATAACTATTATATCAACGCAGTTTATAATAATTATTAAAATCTTTCACCTGCACCTGTGAGTATTGGATAGTATACCACTCCGTATGCCGAGCATTGCATCAACCTGACCGATGACGTACAACCTATTTCAGTGCCTCCGTACAGAATGTCACCTACCCGGAAGGAGCAGGAATTAGACACGCTTCTTAAGGAAAATACTATAGAAGAGACAGAGAGACCATGGGCATTTCCCGTTTTCTTAGTAGGTACCTAAAAAGGATGGGCAAGTGAGGCTATGTGTCAACTCTCAAAAACTCAACGTCGTCAGCGTTACTAATTTATCCCTCTACCTCGAATGGATGATCTACTACATGCTGCAAAACATATTGCTTTCATTACTACCACAGACTTACCATCTGGTTATCACCAGATTAGTATCCACGAGTGTATGACCGCGATAAGACTGCTTTAACCACTCCACTATTTACGAATACCGTTCGGTTTGAAAGACGCTCCGGCGACTCTCCAGCGTTTTTCACCGTGGACTCACAGACGTTTCGATTTTGGCTTATCTGGATGATATGATCGTCTTGTCCGCGCAAATCGGGCAAAATGTGTGTTTGTTGGTCCGAGTGTTCGATATCTGGGAAATTTAATAACACCCAATAGTATATCAATTAATCCTGAAAAAACTGCTGCTATTGCCGGGCACTGTGAAAGGTTACGGTAATATGGTATCATCAGATAAAAGTTTCCTCTGTATATTTTCCGACCGAAGCTTACACACAAATCGATCCATTAAAGCTTCTTCTGGAAACTGCTTGAAATTGCAGGTGCTGGCTAACTTGCGGAGCGTTTATCTATAAGAAGTGCTGCGGCAGATTTGAGGATTATTCATCAATTCAACGAATTTTAAGC